AATGTATCCGAAGTGTCTCTCTTGTTTGAAGTATATTAATATAGGGCGAATCGTTTGGGATATATTAGATTTAGGAACATGTGGAAACTTCATTGCTTGGGGGATTTATTGCGTTTACACAGGTGGCTTTCCGTGAAAATGTACTTTACAGTCCGTAAGCCCTAATTCCCAGTGTTTTTCAGGCGGAACTGATTTGAGATATCTAATGTGTAACGGCGAAGAGAAAGATGGGCGGAATAGGTTAAGTCGGTTTTATCGGAAAGACGGGCGAATGGTTAAGGAACTTATTCGTCGTTGTTTATGAAATGCTTATGCCGTGGCAATGTCCCAAAAGTAGTACATTTTCGTTCTCGAAGAAATATTACTAGTGGTTAGTCTATTTACGAGAGTGTGGACTGTATATGGGTGTTTACACCGTTTTGGAACACGGTGTATACGTGTTTAGGAGAGGAAACGGCTCCACTGGAGCGAGAAACGTGAGGTTAACCCGAAGCGCTCGTTCCTGGGACGAGTTGGGATATATCAAGTGTGTGAAATACATCGAATATATATCGAGAGTATATCGAATATATCGAATGCTCACGGCGGTTCGGGGAGCGACCCGCGAGAGGGTGAGGGGTCCCCAAGTATTCGTTATTTTTCCGATGTTACGTAGCACTTATTCGTTTCCGCGTAGGAGACACCTCGGCGTTCAGGATTCCCGATAAAGCGAGATAAAGATATTGTACGGCGTATCGAGAAGCGATTGTACACCACCTATGTATACACGGTGCTGTAAATGGCGTCGATTTAGACGAGCAACCTGGAGCGAACGTTTTCGGGCACGTAGAAAGCCTGCGTCGAGATTCCTTAGTGTCGCGGCGGGAAGTCCGCCATTTTGAAAAACATCGAGGGGCGCCTTCGTCACTCCAGGGGGTTGATTCCGTACCTCGAGTCTAGTGAAAATTGTAAAGGTGAGATTACTCGACGCGAAACTCGGACCGCATTCGCTCGGTCTAGAGATTTTATATTTTCACTCCGGAGAATCGGGCGACTAAGCTCACGTGAGAGGGTAGCGTGAGAAGTGAGCGCGCTCGCCAAAGTTACGGAATCGACCCTCAGGCCTCGAGGTAGGGAGAAAGAGTTGCCCAAAGAAAAGGTTCGCTCCCACGAGGTACATTTACACCATCGAGGGCCCTTTCGACCGCGGGGTAGATAATCGAGAGGATAGCGCAAAAATGTGGAAACGCGTCCCTCGAGTCGCGTATAGATTTACTTGCGTATGTATCAGAGCGAGACATTGGATAGAAAGAGAGGGCAGGGCCGATCGCTACGGGAGAGACGGGACGTCGAGAGGAAGGCGGAAAATAGAGGAAAAAAGAAAAAAGAGAAAAACACAAAAGGGAGAGAAAAACAAGAGAAAAAAAAAATACAAAAAAGGCTCTATTGAGAATAGTACAACGCCGCGAGACGGTGAATCGCAACTGCAATATGGAGAACGTATATACCACTACATATATATTTTTTATACGTCGAAAGGGGACGCCGGGGGGCGTGGATCCGCGGCGCGTTAACGGCGTTTTCGGTTTTGGCCGCTATATTGCCGCGACGACGACGTCTCGAGCCTCTTGGGGTGCATTTCGGGCCTTTCCTCGTGCTTGTGGAGTTGCTGGTCTGGGTATCGGTATCGGCCACTACCATTGGCTGGCGCCCGCATGCGGCGTTCCTATTGGCTGCCGCCTGAAAACGGCGCTCCCATTGGCTCTCGCCCGCATTCGGCGCTCCTATTGGCTGGCGCCCGCATGCGGCGCTCCCATTGGCTCCCGCCCGCATTCGGCGCTCCTATTGGCTGGCGCCCGCATGCGGCGTTCCTATTGGCTGTCGCCTGAACACGGAGCTCCCATTGGCTCTCGCCCGCATTCGGCGCTCCGATTGGCTGGCACCCAGTCTCGGCTTCTCCCGCAGGCCTGGGTCGCTCGTCGCGGCCCTCCACCACGAGCCCTACTCCCGTTCAGGGATGGGGAAGGCGACACCGAGCCCCTCGAGGTCGTCGACTCTTTTTCGGACACCGATCGGTCCTCTTGTTCACCGAACACCCCGCCACCCCCCTCGTCGCTGCACCGCGAGGACTGAGCGTTTTTTCCTCCCGAGACAAGTGAAAACAAGTATTCCTACGTAACTTCGTGCGTTAAACGTTAAACTATTGTAACGTCATTAATGTTATTATTACTATTGCGATTATTAATTACCATTATTATACTACCGCGACGTTTAATCTTCGCTAAGTTCTCGTTACGGACTAGACATTTACTGCGTACCTCTTAGTCGTCAGGTTTTTATTCCTTTATTCTTTTTTTCCTTTTTTTTTTGACTTGGCGTTCTGTCCTGCGCATGGGACCCATTATTATATTATTACAATTACAACCACTCTAATCTTATAATGTCATTAACCTCGTAACGATCATATTACGTCACGCGTGTTCACGCACAGGTATTTTTGTTTTCCTTATCTTCTTTTCCCCCTCTCCTTACCCCTCCTGTATTTCTTTTTATACACGTTAACGATGAACAACGTATTGTCATCGCGAAACTAGTCCAACCGTAATTCCGGAAACGCAGGGGTCCTCTTTATTACATTATACGCCATTTTCAATGTTTTTTTTTCCCCTTTTTGAGATATTTCGTTTGCCTTCGTGCGACCTTTTCGTTCCGTTTGTTCCTCCCGTTGATTGTTCGTGTTCACTTATACTTATACTTATACTTATACCTTTTTTCTTGCTCTCGTAATCCTTTTCCTTGTTTTTGTTCTGTTTTTTTTTCCCCCCTCTCTACCTTGTACCTACCAAATTTTAGTTTCATTTTTATACGACACTTATGTATATGTATATGTATATTCAAATTGTATTGTACGTATACACATGCATCTATAGTTATATACATACATAAACATAGAGATAAATATACACACGGTTTTACAGCGATAACGAGACAGAGAGAGAAAGAGAGAGAGAGAGAGAGAGAGAGGGAGAGATATTTTAATCTATATTCGCCGGGAGAGATATTTTATTATAGGATAGAATCGGAGGCGAGAGGTTTCCACTGTTCACCGCCAGAGAGCGCCTTTCGTCGGACCTTTCCATATCACTTGAACCCTCGTGTCTCGCCGTTCTTACGTCAATACCTATTACCGAGAGCTATCCTATATTAAGATATATTCTCGTTGTACTCGCGACGAGATGGCGCCCCTCTCGCCGATTGCCGACGCCAATGGGAGGGACGGAGAGGGGAGCAGGTGCGAGACGACAAAGTAGGAGGAAGGTACGCTTAATGAGCTCCTTCATATAAGCGCGCGTAAGCTCTGCAATGCAATAACAAGATATATATATATATATATACACACACATGATATATCTATATATTGTGATGCCCGCCGAGAGCACATTGCGCGATTTACCAAAATTGTAATGTTTAGACGTTTCGTGTGATTTTTGAAGCTGTTATATTTTTTATTTTCCTGCCATTGTTTAATTTGTAACGTTGTTCCTTGTTCTTTTTTCAATAAAGTATGCAAACCGAGCGGTGTCGTTGGTTTAGTTTGGTGGTGTATATAGGTGGCGGGGGTGGAGGGGTGGGCATGTGCATTTGGCGCGACACTCTACCGAGGTTCCTGGTCCCACGGCTGTCTTGGTACAGGGGATTTAAACAGCAGGGGGAATGGTAACTAAACATGAGGAGTAAGTCCTTTATTTTTCCTCACCTTGGATGGATTATTAATTTTAATATTCTTTTTACTTCGAGATAACAGGAGATAGCTGGGTACTCCTTGGAGCTGGAGGAACGAGAGAAGAAGCTGACGACATGGGTGGACTATTTGTTAATGTTCATTTAAACGAGCTCGAGGACTTGTGTACTTACGGTACTTGTATAATAAACTGCAGGATGATTAGGGTAATAAAGAAAGTTATTGGTTAATTACAATGAGTATGTTTAATTAGACGAGCATGTCTAGCAAACCCTCTAATCCCCTATTCCTGATCCTTGAAGATCACTCATAGACCTAAGTTAATTTTAATTTCTTTCCGGTGCGAGAAACCTGCTCGGTTATCTTATGTTCCTGTTACAAATCGAAAATTTCAACCCCTTCCCTGGGTACCGCTGACGTGAATTCACGTCTTTTCCTTCCTGGGTACCGCTGACGTGAATTCACGTCTTTGTACCCCTGTGTACCGCTGACGTGAATTCACGTCTTTTTACCCCTGTGTACCGCTGACGTGAATTCACGTCTTTTTACCCCTGTGTACCGCTGACGTGAATTCACGTCTTTTTACCCCTGTGTACCGCTGACGTGAATTCACGTCTTTTTAC